CGTTATAATTATCATGAATAGTGTATGATAAGAATCAATTCGGCCCACGTTGTTTGGTCAAAACTCCTTAAATGCGGGCACTAGAGGAATAAAAGCAGTAAGTACCCACATCTTGTAGAGATAGAAATTTTGTGAAGTTTGCTTCCATTGGGACAAAAAGAGGTGGTCGTAATGCTGGCGTATTTTTGGAGACTTGTGTAAGTGGGAATGTCACACACTGTCTAGCTACTGTCTGACTTGTATATAATGTGGCTGGTATTTTGGCCCACCAATTTTTACGATTATTATTATTATTTCAATCAAAATATTATAGTAGCAAAGTGTATGAAACTATCTCTCATAAGAGCAAAGTGTCGTATTTGAAGTGCCTACTGGGATTAGGTAGATATGATGCTGCATTAATTGAGAATAGGATACACTATGCGGCTACAGCTACAGCTCAACGCTCCTCCAAAATGACCGCAAGTTTGAATAAGTACTAGAGTTTCTTGATACATTTGATATATTTGACACTAATTTTTTTTAATGACGAACAATCATGATCATTCCGCAAAGGAGAACTGATTCTATTACAAGAAACACCAAAAACTAATACGGATTGCTAAAACTGGAGAATTTGTATAGTTGCACCGAAGTTACGGACTACATTTTTTTCCCGCCCCGAATTGAAATTTCTGACCAAGTGATGAAAGCCCTTCTACATGAATACAAAGTGATTATTAACTCAGTGACACGCAGAGGTGAAACAATAAAAAACATTCTTAAAATTGGCACCAAAAGCGTTAAAGCATTGTAGCACGTACCAGTTCTCAGCGATTCCGAGGAGTGTATCGGTAGCTTCACTTGGGAACTATGCGCCAGAACCAAGTTAGCGCGAATTGCGTCGCACCGCTATCTGGAACTAAACCAATATGACAAACAAGTTATATTGTTTCGCAATAACAATTCAAGCACAATACCCCGCTCAGTAGTTGTCGTCATAATGCATAATTTTAGGATGCAGAAAATAGAATTTCATTTTGAATAAGTCATAAATACTCACGTTTACTCCTGCAAGTTATCCTGTTTGTAAAAACAATCTAGCAAGGATAGCAAACATGGCTTTCGTCGTTTTTAGATTCGTGCGTCATGTTTAGGCGGGAAATGACTTTACATTGTTTCACAATAACACTTCAAGCACAATACCCCGAGTAGTTGCTTGCTTGTATGGTGCATTTTGAAATGTATGCAAATCTATTTATTTATGTCTTTGTGGAGAGAACAAAATGTTCAACAAATCCCCCATCATCTTGGTACGTTCCTATGGCGACAGACAGAGCCCCTGATAACCTCCTGAAAGGTGGATTTCTATTGTCGCGTAATTTTTCCGTGCGTACGCACATAAATTTTACGCGCGTAAATAAAATAGACATTATAAGGAAGGTCACGCGTAAACGTTAAAGTTGAACCTCGTTCAACTTTTACGTTTACGCGTGGCCTTTCATGCATTGCCTTTATTTCATTTACGCACGGAAAAATTACGCGACAGTGGAAATCAACCCTTACACGGTAATTTGATAGCGTGAGGCCCGAAAAGTTAGCGCGGAGTCGAGACCGGTTTGCCTCATTTTAAAAAAAATATGTCCAAGATTGATCCTGAGGTTAAGGTATGCATCGTTTTAGGACCAGCAACGCGTGTTTTTGTTTTTGATCGAGTTGTGAGCGATATAACCATCGCGCGCCGTGAGACTAAAGAGGCTGCGTATCGGAGTAAACTTTAGTTACGCTTCTGTCGCAGTTCTTATTAGTTTTGAGCAACTAACTAACGACCGAGGAAAAGGACTCAAGAAAGAACAAGCGGTGCTGGTCTATTCGCTAATGCGAAATTTGAATATTAGCGCCTATCCCGTAAAAGCGCCGCTCTCAAATTGCCGCCGCAAGCCAGCGCATCGGCGCCTACCTCATTCGACTTATTGGAGTAGATGCGTTAATTCATAGTTTTACAGCGTTATCCTAAGCCTATATATGGACAGCGCGAGTGGCCGAGCGATTAGGGCACTGGACTTGGAATTACGCCCCGTGTTCATTGGCACTTTGACCACTATCTGTATTTGTACTACTGTAGTCCCTAGTCCATATCCTCGACCACGCTTTCCGTAGCCAACTGGTTCGCTTCCGACTAGTTGGGATTCTTCAAGCTGTAATGTTTCAGTTATAAATGATTTATTTTAGACACTTGCTCTGCCCCACTAGCCGTTGCGCTATATAAAATTACTGCCGAGGGTAAATAAAAGAAATATGAGGGAGAGATCATTATTGTTGTTGTCTGATTATCATTACAGAATTCCCGCACCAGGCGCGGGAAAAACCAGTCCACACGTCATAATCGGATTTTGGTCTTCCTTCTCATTGGTAGATCAAAAAATTGCTACGAGGTTTTTTGGCCAATCACAAAGTGCATCAATGCAAAACAAATGCTACAGCAATTTAATTTATTGTTTCTTTTTTAAGAAAAAAACTTACAACGCACTCAACCGGATAATGATTTATCGGGTCAGTTTACGTACGTTATATTTCCTTTTTGAATCCCTGAGATATGGACGCAAGCCAGAAAAGATCATGTAAGAATCACAAAATAGAGAGCCACTCACCCAAGAAACAGTGAAAATCTGTTAAATCTCGTTCAAAAAATTCGATCGTAGCTTCTGTGGTTGGAGTTTCGGGATTGACAGCCTCAGCTTTTGAAACTGAATATAACATCCTTTTACTGTGGTCATTTACTTCAAGGCAAACTTAGTTACACTTAAGCTAAGTCTACTGAAAATATCGCGCGGAGAATATTTCGTTACCCTAAAAAAAAGATATAACTAGCACGAGGGAAGACGTTTTTATGCTTCTACGTGTCATCTAGTTTGACAATATTTCTTCTTTTTTGCAGCTAAGTAAAGGTTTCTGCGATATTTGTTGATGTGCGGGTGCAAAAATTTAATAATCCTTCGACAAGTTATTGAGTTTGTTTTTCTTTTGACGGAAATGCCCTTGAAGCCGTCCATCGTAAGATTTCAAGTCTGAGATCTTTCTGTCAATTCAACTAAGCAAACTCGTTAAAGTTAGCTAGCGGATGAAGTTCTAAACGGGAGTTTTAGTATTGATTGGGAGGGCGTGTCTGAGAGCGATTGACGATCAATACTTGCATGTACCTTTATTAGTAAGGTAGGGTAAATCTTTTTTATATTACAGCAAGAATTATACGTCGATACGTCCTTTACAATTTCCTTAACGCTTTGAATAGCAATCAGTTCCAACCGTTTACATATTCTTGTATCGCATATTTCCAACTACTCAAAAAGCTACTACAAAGTGTAACGGCTCATTCGCGTATGAATTTTAGCTAATGTTCAAAATAAAATCACTGACGAGTTTTATTCCAATGACCATATATACTACCGACCTGAGTTTCAGTCCGGTTTGGTCGATGTGTAATCGAGAATATTCGATGTCAAAACTTTGAATAAGTATTGCGGTAGATATATTCTCTAGACGGTTTTCTGTCCCTAAAGCCTGAGCGAATGTCGTGAGCCAGTGAATACAAGGCATGTACCTGAATTCAAAAAGCATTTTTTGCTTTAATTCAAATGTGCTGGAATAATTACTTTCTTAAGCAATTTCATTTACGTGTTAATTGACAATGTTTACTGACGAAACTGCTGGTATCAGAAAAAGCAAGGACTAGATTAATTTTTAACTCTTTTTTGGAACGTTGAAGGTCCAAAATTTTGACTTGATCAACGGACATGTTTCAAATGATAATATTCTTTACTTTTTTCTTGTATTTTTTGACGCCGGTTGGATGTTAGCATTAATAATAATGGTAGGCTAAAGAAGTTAGATTTTATTGTGAGTAGAATGCTCTTCAAGGATAAGTTTCGTAGAATTAAACTGAAAAGCTAAGTAATTAGCTTATCCTTGAATGTTCCACAATTCGGCACTGAATGTAAATATATACAGGGGCACTCAACGACTGTTTTCTGTAAAATATCTGTTCGGATCGGAGAAGCAAATATTGCCTAGAATTTTCTAACACTTGAGGACGGTTAAAAATTTCTAGATGACTGTTCCATTCCTGTACAATTTTGGAAGTTTTTCCAATAAATCCGATACGATTTTCTGAAGTTTAATTTTTCACACATTTCACTCCCAAGGTTGGCTATTTTTCGTAGTAAAAAGGAAACCTAAAATTTTCGGATTCAAAAATGTGATGTAGAGAAGAATTAGAAAAATTCTCATTTTCGTAAAACGTTAAATTGCATCTAAAATTTTCGGGAAAGTAATACTGGAGCCCTAATAATTTCGAACAGACTCAAATTACCCTAGGATGACCGAACAGATACAAATTTTACAGCGCCGCTTATAATGTATTTCTTGAGATCTAAAAGTTCTCTGGATAGCCTAAAAAGTGTTTTAAATGTGTGTAGGAGGAAACCGTCGTTGGGTGCCCTGTATATGGGGCAAAGCTGATTCAAAATTTTTAGTATTGTCTAAAGAAAGGTTAAATGCGTAGCAGAAAATTACAATTTGTAAATGTAACAGCGGCCAGTCCATGCTAATATTCTAAGACCTGCAATATTTTATTATATTTTCAATAACTGTCGAACTAGAATCGATTAGCGTCCTATATAATAGGTTGACATTTTTGGAATGGTTTTACAATTAGCTGAAAACTCCTATAAAGTGCGTAGTAATTTAATTTACTAGCTGCCAGGTCTATAGTTTGGGAGGTTTAGGCATAGAAAAGTAATAGTCACAGGCATAGTGACTAATTAAGCTTTCTATAGTCCTCAAGCAAACTCATTCCCAGCTAAGGATCCAATTGACATGGAAGGCAGTCAACGGCTAAATAATAAATATCGTAAAAAGTATAAAACTCGTGCCCTTTTCGCATGCATTGATAATTATCTGAAATAACGGCCTACGGTTTTGTTTTCCCCAGGTCATTTGATTAATCCTGCTTCTTGGCAAGGATGTCGACGCTATTACCATATTTGGAATTCACACTTTTTTTGATCATCCCCGTTTCTAAGACTACCGCAGGCTTCAAAAGTTGCCGTGCCGATATTTCATATAAAAATCACGCGCTTGTTGGACACGCATTGCAGACCCTAAAGAATAAGCGTTTTGAGAGCTGTACATATTCTTGTGAGCTAGATTTGCAGTGCTTCAGTGTCAATTACGTACCAACACTCAAAACCTGCCAGTTAAATAACGCTTCCAAAAGTTTTTTTCCTGGCGACTTTGTAAAACAAAAAGGAACGATCTATATGGAAATGGTGATTCGCGAGTATCACCCTTGTAACAGCATGCGCTGTGAGAATGGAGGAACGTGTGTCACTAGACCGACTGTGATGTGCCGGTGTCATGCCAGATTCAGCGGACTTCATTGTGAAAGTAAGAAGATTTCCTTGTTAAAGTAGGTTAAATTCTCTTGTCTTAAATGACAAATCTTGGGAAATTTCGAATCGGTAATTGGCCGCCCTTATTTAATGAATGATTCAGTAGCTAACATTTCCACCTCTCATGATAGCGTGAATAGAGTTTCGCCAGAGTAACGGCTGCACCTTTTTGCTTAGAGTTTAAGTAAGCCTATTGGATAGTTTGCGTCTTAGAATTCCTTTATACCAGAAAAAATGACCCGCGGGTAGAAGGATCACCCGCCTTGCCACTGATACCCTGGGCGGGCCAACATTTCATACATTTCCTTACAAAACGTGGTGAACCGTTTACATGAGAAACAAGAAGAAGAAGCAAGGTTCACCCTCTTAACTGTGCTCGCCTGCGAGCAGGCTCCCCGGGGCGCTCCGGCGGCTGGGAGGGAAAAGAAAGGAGAGCTTGCAACTCCGTCTCTGGAATTTGAATCCCACCTCCAATTCCCCTGTTGCTCCTCGTCGACTGAGCTGTCAGATTTCCGCTAAACAGCGCGAAACGGAAACTAGCGCGAATGTAAACAAACATTAAAAAACACGGGCTAAGGGTAATGACGTCATTAATGATGTCATCTCCGTCAATCAGCATTTCGCATCGACTTTTCGATGCAGGTATTCAATTTATTCCCTCCTTTTCCCGCCCAACCGCCAGGGCGCCCAGGAGAGCTTGCTCGCAGGTTTTAAGCTGTGCTAACTTTTCTCCTATAAACAATTTGGCTCGCTCTTCCGGGTCAACTCTGTTAAGGCGAGACAATCCGCAGAGCATACCGAGCGTTGTATGGATCGGGCAAAGGGATAAACTTTTTCTCATATAAACGCTTGCTTGAGTTAAATCGGCTGGGATGGTGATCCTTCTACCCGGGATAGGTTTTCTCCGTATAAAAAGAGCCTTAATATTGCCACAGAAGAAACAATAATATTTCCTATGAATAAAGCAATATTTGCTCAAGAGACCCAAAACAGGATTAGAAGGAATTACTTTGACCAATGACACCAGAAGGGATAATCACTTCCTTCAAATTAAAACAAGTGTCACAAGACATTTTAGGTTATCAGAAAGCCTTGGAAATGACACCCTTTGTATTCTAATTGACCCAGAGAAACCCTGCCCAGTTGTATAATTCAGTCTACCCAGTGATAGCGAGTTCACAGACCCTCTATTTTCTGCCACCTCTTTTAGCTAACTAAGAAGAAAAACCCAGTGGAAAATAAGCAAACCAGGTGATTTTTTGCTCCGAAAACCCTAGCCTGTGAATATATAGATCCAGCATGGTCTGTTACAGAGGGGTGTGAAATGCGTTTCCTTCTTGCATAACCAAAGAAATCGCGAAATTGTTTTCGACACTTATTAACTACAAGACCGATCTGAAAAAAAAAAAAAAAACATTACTTTTCATCAGTTTCTCAATCAGGACCGATAGCCCTTGGTATGGAAAGCGGAGCCATTCCAGACGACAAGATTACAGCTTCGACATTTAAGACAGGCTACGAGGCGAGAAAGGCGAGGCTAAATAGAAATTCCTGTTGGATGCCTCTGCAGGATAGAAACACTGAATACATCAAGATAAATTTTACTTCCGTGACCAATGTTAGTGCCATAGCGACCCAAGGTGCGCCAAATGACGGTTGCTGGGTGACAAGTTTCTCCTTGCAGTGGTTCGTTAATAACCGCCTTGTGACGGATCAAAAGGTACAAAATATAGCCTGCGAAAACAGCCCTTTCTTCTCGCTCCTCACCGCCGGGGACGTTTCGCGAGGAGGAACGTCTGCGACTCACAGAAATTCCATACTGATGACGTGAAGTCTGTCCGGAATCCGGTCATAAACTCTGATTGGACGACGGAGTAGTTACATTGTTTTTGCTATTGTTACGAATGACAGACAAAAAAAAAGCTAGGCTACGAGGGTCAAATGTAAACGTGAGGAATCTATAACAAAACAGTCAATATTTGTGGAATATATTCTTCTCTAGAAGAAGCCTTAGAGTTTTGCTAGAGCTCGTTTGCAAATGAACACAACATTTTACTAGAATCGTCCAGGAGAAACGTAAAATTGAACAAATTTGCATTTGGAACCCCATACCTACCGGATTTATTATGTAAACATTGATTTACGTCATCAGTATGGAATTTCTGTCGCTGAGTCGCATACGTTCCTCCTCGCGAAACGTCCGCAGCAGCGAGGAAAACGGCTGTTTCGGTAGGCTATACAAAACAGGGGTGCAGGGCTTGGGACAGTAATGCAGTATTCATAATTTTCTGTAATTTGTGGATACCCTCATAGAACAGTGCATCCTTTGCGAAATGTTCTTGGAGTTCTCCCTCCCTCCACCCTACACAATGTTGAAACTCGAAAAAATTCTGGATACACACGTCCAACTTTGTTTGTGGGGTGGGGGGAGGGGTTGGGCATGTGTGACCTGAAAAAAGCCCCACAAATGCAAAAGCGTCCCCAAGACTTTTGTCCTTGATGGTAGAGACTTTCATTAGTTTTCTGTTTTCGATCCTTACTCTTAAGACCGTATTCTTCAGGCAGAAGTTGCGGCTTTGGCAGGTGGCAGGATCGGGGAAAATACCACATTTTGTCTGAAAAACTGATTACTTTGAAAGAAATTAAAGGGTAGTTACAGATATAAATGTACAGTTTTTCGGAAGTCTCTTATTTACCTCGTTCCTTTGCTTTGTTTTTCTATCTTGTTCTTGTTGTTTATTTATCTTCGACATTTTTGAGGTACGCACATGGTTACATAGGCTGGCGTACAGGTAGTAGCAACCCTATTTCGTGTGAACAAGCTAGCAATCACCACGGCTTTTTATACACCGCCAAATGGTTGCACATCAGTTCTAATCATCATTGTTAGTGCCATGAAATCATGGCTGACAAATTACTCCTCAGGTTAGCCGTGAAAGGTTACCATTAATATATAATTGTGCGCTATGGCAGCGTTTTTATATCTCAGCGCTAAGATGGCGTCCAGGTTGAGTTCGGTATAAGGATGTTACGGCACAAAAAGACGCTGAAGAAAAACTAAACACGCCGCAATAGAGCACAATTATAAAGTGCAAAAATTAGCCTGCGAAAACATCCGTTTCCGCTCTTCGCCGATGGGGACGCTTCGCGCAGAGGAACATCGTTCCTTCTTGCGAAACGTCCCCGGCGTCGAAGAACGAGGAGAAACGGATGTTTTCGCAGGTTAATTGCGGCCTCAAGTTTGTTATTTTTGCCGTAAGCATTAAGTTAGTTTTTTACTTCTCTAAATTCAACCCGCCTATCCCGTTCAGTCATACGGACACTTTGAATGGCCCCCTGAGTATCTGCTTTAACGGGGTTCGAAGGTATTAATGGGCTCTTTAGTTATACTTGTGTTGTTTTGCATTAAAACAGTCATACCAGGCAAATGAGGACAAGAACACAGTTGTTAATAACACGTTATCACCTCCAATCCAAGCTATTATAATACGCATCCGCCCAGAAAGTTGGTCTTCCTGTATAGCGATGAGACTCGAGCTGTACGGATAGTTATGGGAACGCCTGTGCCGCTAGAAGGGAATAGCGCCATGTTTTTTCTTTTGGGATAGGACAAAGCTTTGACCAAGCAAGAGGTGGTTTTTTTCATACATTTATTTCAAATCAATTAAGTGTAATTAATTAATACAATCATTGCCCAGGGACGCACACGTCGTTTAGATCTAGAGCTCGAGGTGTCCGCAATGAAGCGAGTCATGAGCCCGTAGCGGGCAAATTCCATGCGCTCGTGTCACGGCTTTTTTCCCCGAACCAGTTTTTTTAGAACGTTTTTGGCGCGAATTTTGAATTTCTTCTAAATTTCACAAAAAACCTACAGACCTAAAAATTGTAATTTTTTTTGTCTTTTAATAACGTTTCGTTTTCCTTTTTGATATCTTATACTCATAGACATGGTGGAGATTCTATTTTCGCGGGAAAAAGTGCCCTAAAATGTGTCTAAAAATAAATGGTCTGTAAAAACGCCGCGACATAGGCCTAGTATGGGAGTTGTTCACTCCGGGCTATGAGCTCCTGAGAGGGTCAAAGAGAATGACTGAAAACAGGAAGGGACCAGCCTTAGATAGAGGGCTTACCATGATAGCGCCAAAACTCCTGCACCTTCCTCTCGCCCTTCATTAAGCTCAAAGTTTTACGGAAAAGGCAATTTTGCAATGAGCTGAGGAATTTGCTTACCACTGATTATGCAACTGGGCATGTGCACTTTTAGTTTAACTGTTTTGCGGGCTAGTGCTATTTTGTAATTTTTATTTATGATTTTGTAAATAAAATTGAAACTTGAGCTTGAACTAAGTTTAATAAAAAATAAAACACGAAAAGCGGTGATAAACATTGTCAACTTTCGCCTTTTTTAAACTTGACTTTTTGTAGGTTAGTCAACATACATTTTTGTCATAAGAGACCTAAAATGGCCACTGTTTGTGTTTTATTAATTTGATTAACCTACGATGGCCCAAGTTCTTCTGAAAAATGGTTTGCTCCCAATGTGCATATTATACCAAAGTCGGTTTTCCGCTGTTTCAGTAATATTAAAATCCAGAATTAAACTTTTCGGCCATGTTATGATACTGAAAAACTCCTAGTAGGATGACGACGGTTACCACGTTTTCCCGCCAAAATGACGCTGGGTCAGGCGCGAGCACCACTAAGTATTGGAGAGCTTAAACATCACGTTTACGTCAAAAGGCAAAGTAACGCGAATTTGTTTCAAGTGACCAAGTTTCCCCTTTACTTGTCGTTTATGGTTCATTATTTCTACACATAATTTAGCAGTTTCACGCAACTTTTTATTCATTAGAAATGTTTTGAGCTGTTCTTATCAGCTTATTTTCTATTTTGAGAAATTCTTAACTTGAATCTGACGTTTTGCGTTTGCGGTATACGTGAAGCTTAAAATCTCTACTGAGAAAATCTCGTACTCATAGTCGCCCTCGTCTTAGAATCTAAATTAAGGTCTCTAATAACTAACATGTAGATCTATAATGAATAAGATTTATTTTTGGTGTGGTGTCCTGTGCGATAAATACTTGCAATGATTACATTACTTATACAGCCCCAGTCTGAGGGCTCTGCAATTGTGGTAGGTCAATGGAAAAATGTGGAGATATTTCACGTTAGCGAGATGACCCTGTCTTAGAGGATGATAAACAACCGTGTCCTTGTCAGTGTTTCCTGGGAAAGTCTGCAGAAGAGAAAAAGGAAAGTAACGGTGTTGCTCTTATCAAAATGTATCAAAATATAGTTTCTTTATTATGTTTGTGTGGGAAATGTAGCAGTGAGGTGTCCAAGAGAAGCGATAATGAGACAGAGAGGAAATATTAGGGCGTTGTCTGGGATATGTGAATTTAAGTCAAGTTATTTTTAGAGGTAGTAATTAAACGGAAGTCCAATTCCTGGAACGTTCGCATATCTTAATAGATTGTTCGCAACGGAGTACACACGCGACTGCGCTGAAAGCAATCAATGCGTATATTATAATGGCGACACACTAACAGAGCATATGTTCCATTATCATCTCTTGACAACACTGGATGAAGGATTGCGGACCTCTTCGGGAACCAACTTCCGATTGATTTAAGCGTTTGATTGGTCTAAAAATAAATTATAACTTTGGTGGAACAGTCACTTATCGCTTAAAAAGTGAATTGGCGCTGCTTCAAACTTTTTTGTGCTTATTCCATCTGGTTTACTTCGTCAAATATTGGCAAATGCTTTTGGAGTTGAATTCTAAAGGACTGTATCAAAGTTCAGGAAAAGAAAAAGAAATTTGTTGTCTTGTGTTCCCGTCCTCGACAAAACGTGAATTTAAGCACTTTCACTTTGTAGTCGTGCAACGACGACAAAGAAATGTACAAAAAGTGTGAAGCACGTGCAAAGTTGTTGTTTTGCTAATCTAAACCCATTCTCGTTGCCGTTCTCGTTGCCGTCGCAGTCATCGTTGCTTAAGCTTCCTAATTTTCTCTTGGGTGTCACATCAATGAATCTTTCATTTCAGTAGGGCCGAAAACGAATTTATAGCATTCCGTCCATACAACCACTTATTATCCGAAAAGAAGTAAACGCTCCTTACTGAACATCGTTACCGCATAGAGTACTAAAGTGCGACGTCATAAAAATGAAATTTCTGAAATTATGGGATTTGTCAGGATATTCTGAAAGAACAATGCCCAAGAGGCCTACTTGCCAAAAATGAGCATTTGGGGGCAAATTCTCGGAGATCGTAGCCCAGTTATGCTTACAAAACTGCATACAAACCCTTCTAAATTTTTTTTGGGTCGACCCAAAAAAAAATTAGAAGGGTTTGTATAGAGTTTTCTGAGTATAACTGGGCTACGATCTCCGAGACAATTTGCCGCGAAATGCCCATTTTTGGCAAGTAGGCCTCTTGGACATTGTTCTTTCAGAATATCCTGACAAAGCCCATAATTTCAGAAATTTCATTTTCATGACGTCATCACTTTAGTAATCTGTTGGTACGGTTTGAAGGAGCTGCGTCACGAAACTCTATCGAAATTCAAACAGTGGGAACTACCAAGCTGAGTGAAACATGAAAATAAGCAGATTGTCTTGTCTTTGGATACGCTCCATCATTCCCACGATAACACTAAACGCAAACTCCGCGCGTGTAAAACTATTCTGACAGAGTGATTTTACTCGACACGTGAAACAGATACT